GATCTTGTTGCCAAGTGATTTGAGCCTGAATGCTAATTGAGACCTGGTTTAGATTGCTCAGACCTTTAATTGCAGGTGCTTTCTGGTTTTAATGGTGCTGTGGGATTTTGTGCTCCCAGTGAGAAGGCAGAAGCAAGACCGATTAGGCAAAGGATTTTGGGGTGTCAGCCTTTGAAAGGGCCAGGGGGCTTGAGCAGATTGTGTGGCACCTGGCAGGGCTGAGCTGGGTTAACTGGAGGTAGCAGAGCTGCTGTGTTGAGGGGTGACTGTTCCTGCACAGTGGCACGAAAGGCACGCCAGCCAAAACTGTCCTTTCCACCAACATTAAATGAGCTCAGGTTTCTGGAAAGCGTGCCATAATATTACACGTTATGGAACCCAAGAGATCAAGTATGTGATATAGAGCTGCAGTCAACAGAAGGTTCCTATGCGTTGTGTGGTATGGTACAGATAACACTGCCATATGCAGCTGGTGCCTTTTGTGGGTCTGCACTACCAATGTGTGCACTCCTGAGCTGTCAGTCGAGCACACAACAATTCTGGCTACTGTTGACTTGGGTCGGTTGTGTTCCACTGTTACTTTATTTACGGTGGTGTGTGTACAGTAATTTTGCATTTAGGTTTCTGGATTTGAAATAGCTGTATCCTGTTTTTCACAAACTGTCAAAATATTTATGTATGTGAACAATTGGTTGGTTGTTCTTTAAGCTCTTACTGGAGCCCGAGTTGGCAAAACTCTTACAGCAAGCGTGCCAGGGTGAACTGGCAATCCATTCGTATCAGCTGGGGACTCTGGCAGGAGACACTACACACCTCATGTCTTTGAAGACGCTATTCATGTTTGAGACGGGGTAATACTTTAACATTGTTTTTAATATCATACTAGTGCACTGGTGACAAAGTTGAGTGCAATGTGATCACATTTATTTAGAACACAGAACTGCTGCTGTAGTTCAGAAACTGCTTTTAGATGAAGCAGTTCTGCTTTTCACCTGATACTTGTTCCTGCTTTTATTTTTAACGTTGGCATGGAAATGCAGTAAGCTTGGGAAATTGTTCTGGTCACTGGGATTCAGGAATGTTTTGCTCTCTGTATTTTCATGGCAATTACATTTTGGTATCCAGGTCATTGCTGTGTATCTCCCTGTAGTGGGGTGGGTTCCCTGCTTCCCTGTGTATTTTGTTAACCCCAGGCTAAGGAAGCCAAACAGTGAATGTGAGCTTCCACCTGTTACCTGCCAGATAACAGCGATCTGCAGTTACCGGGTCAGACACCACCCGTACTAACTAGCTATAGAATAGCTATAGATGTACATCTAAAGCAGCTTATGAGGAGAGAGAGGTTAATTTTATTTTTTATATTAGCTGTCTTAAATTTAAATGGTAGAAAACAGTGTATGTGTGTACATACACATACATTTCTGTATTAGAAATGCAAATTTTAGTATCTTAAGTTTACTTTTTCCTTTTTATTTCCTATGTTAAAAAACCTATTGCTTTTTAAACTGCATCAGTAATTCTAAGCAAGGTCATTGATTTAGTACAAAAATATGAGAGATGCCTGTTTTTCTACTCCTGCCTGACCTATTTACTGAGCAGCTGGTACACACTGGAGCTTACTAGCTTGTGGGAGAGCCGATTGGGTAATTTAAGATTCTACGAGTGGTACCCATTCAGGCTAAAATGTGATAATTATAATTCTGTCCTTTCACTCCATCAGTATTAACCTGAGAAAATATTTTGTTTGAGAGAAAGTATTTGGAATGACTGAGTTGAACTGGAGCAGTTATACAACTCCATGTAAGCTGAAATTGGGTTATTAAAGTTTGTCCTAGATGCTAAATTTGTCTCCTAGACTGTTGGCTTGGCACACAACAGCTCTGCCAGGCTTTTTTTAAGTCTTTTTTTCTTTCTCTCCCCAAGTTAGAGCATAATCCTGGGTATGTGCATTGGCCCAATGAAGTTCTTCAGTGTAACAACTCCTTGTTCCTGCTCTCTGTGTTGAACCCGGTTACTTTCCATGCAAGACATTTCCCTGTTTCGCTCTCTTGTTTCAGTTTCTTTAAAGATTTTGGCAGGGGATTTTTGAAAGCCCTTCAGATAACTGTGAAGGTGGCATGCTTGAGAGCAGCTCAGGGGTTTTGCTGCTTGGTCTCTTCAAACAAGTTAATAGGTTTGTAAGGTCTGATTTTTTTGTTTTCAAAAGCAATATTGACATTTCTGAAGAAGCCTTATCTGGTAATTATATTATCTGTTACAGCTTCTACTCGTTTACTCAGTATGGAGATAAGGTTAGCAGCCTCTTTTCTTCCTCACAGGGATGGTCTGCCTGCGCCTCTCAAAAGTGAATGAGGTGGACAAGAGCATCAGCTGATTCTGTTTCAGGGAGGTTTTGTGGTTTGCCAGCAAATCGCACTTTAATCCATTTAATGGACGTCGTGTTTTCATAGTGCTTGGACACTGTAATTGAAATACTGTGCACCGTTCAGTCGTTACATAAATCTAAACGTGCCATTATCAGCACCGTTACCTTGTAACCCAAATGTAATCTCCTCGGATGGTGTTTGTGAAGTTAATTGGAGCAGATGGTGATCGTGGTTTGTTACTGCTCCTTGATTTCATACACAGATTTCCATATCTTCATTCTGTGTTTTGACTCAGCCTGAAGGGCAACTAATTATTTAGAACATACACATATCAAAATCATCCTTTAACCCTTTCATAGTAACTGTTTTCTTCACTATTTTGGTATTAACACTTATAGTAAGTCACCCTGTATAGTCAGGGGATTTCCTTGGAGATCTCTTTTTTAAAAAAACCCTAACTTTTAGTTTCTTTGGCCATGTTTATGAATGGACAGCCTGAGTCTAGGCAATGAGAGTGCAGCAGCTGAGTGCCATCTCCTGCAGTGACAAATGCAGTAGTAGGTGTTTCACCACTCTGTGGAGATGGATCTGGCAGTTGAGTTTCCTCTCCTGCTACACCGCTCTCCTGTGCTGACCATACAGAACTTGCATAGGTTGTCACTGGGACACAGGCGTTGTTGCTGTGCACAGATTATCACCAGTGGTGCCTCTGACCCCAAACAGCCTCTACACAGATTCTTCCATATTTATTCTGCATATCATCCTTTCTGTGGTGTGTGTAGGAAGCTAGTGATGAAATCTAAATATTGATTTTATTATTATTATTATTGAGAGTGAAGAAATACTGTCAATACTGGATAGCACGCTTTACCTACTGCAACCAAAACTGTGCTCGGATGTGATCAGTTTTCACGTGCATGGAAGGCAGTTTCAAGTCCTGTTTTCAGGAATGCG